ACTCCATTCAAGAGCATTTTGTACATGAGCACGATGCAAAGAAAATGGATGAATGCGAAATCAAAGCACCTTTTTATATATGTGGTGTTCACAAATCCTCTCACGTCAATGTAAAAGATCTGTTAACAGATAGAACTGGAATGGATATTTTCCACAAAACAATGTCCTGCAAGCGATTCCTTTTCCTATTAAGATGCCTTTGGTTTCATGATATCCGAGTATTCAGAGAGTTTTATACATGGAAATATACGCCAGCTAATAGCCAAAAGGGCCATTTCAGTTTGATACCAATGCAAGCGCTATTGTAAAGCGTTTGATGAAACCATTGTACAATTCTGGACGGAATTTGACTGTGGATAATTAATATATGGGATAACAGCTATCTCAGGACCTACTAAGAAAGAAAGCAGCTATAGAAACTGAGAGAAAGAATAAGAGAGAAATTCCACCGGATTTTCTAAAGAAGAAACGGGAAGCATATTCTTCAATTTTTGGTTTCTAGAAAGAAAAAAACCATTGTTTCTTATGCACCAAGGAAAAACAGAAGTGGGCTAATCTTTGGAACATGGTAACAGGTAGTTTGGCGACATTTTGGTAAGGCGATAAAAGTTACTAGCTAGGACTTTAGCAGTGTACATGGATAAAGTCAAGAGTGTGTGCAATGCCATTTTTGTGCAATTCTGGGCTTTTTTTTTAAGTGAAAATCGATCGACGTGTACATGGACAATACCGTGTATGTGCAATTCTTAAAAACGCGGCAAGCAGTTTGCGATTCTGCACTTTCTCCCAATTTCGCACCTAATCTTCGTCATGATTAAGCATTTTTGTTCCATAAAAGTTTTAATATAAGCGTAATTCGGCTAGCAGAATGTTGGAAAAAAATGTTGAGTAAAAAAAAAAAAACATGCCTTTACTTCGTGAAAACAAAACTAGAAGGTTGCTGTAGAAGGGTTGGTTGCCAAATTTTCGCCAAAAAATCGTCAAGTTACCATAATCCAAAGATTAACCCAGAAGTGTTGTCCTACTATCAACTATGCACAACGACAGTAAAATTGATGAAACTACTGGAGTGCTAAAAAAGCCAAAGATTACTTCATTTCATAATCTAACCAAAGGACCAGATGTAGATGAAATGGGAGCAGCATATTCTACAGCTAGAGTATCGAAACGGTGGCCTGTGGCGATTTTCTTCTCGATTTTAAATGTTGCTGCAATTAATGCACGGATAATCTTACTTTCTACAAAAGAACCACCAACTCAGTTAGGAAACAGGCATTCTTTTCTCAAATCATTAGGACTAAGTTAGTGGAAGATTACTCAAATCAACGGCGGCAGCAAATCATGCTCCCTTTGAAACTAAAAGAAAAAAATTTCAGGAGATTGCAGTACAGAACCACCATCTAAAAAGATGAAAAGCATTTACAGAAGATGCGCTGAGTGCCCAAAAAACAGACAGAAAGACAGTTTCTGAGCGAGAAATGTAATATCAGTATTTGTATGGAGCATATGTGTTCAATCTGCCAGAGATGGGCAAAATAATTTTAAGCTAAGTACTTCATTTATTATATTATTTAACCCGGAAGAGATCACGCGGGGCACTGAGTCACCCCATCTGTCAAAAATCAACAATCCAGACCGGAAATATTTCATGTTAATGAATCATCCTTCTAGTATCCTCCTGTCTGACACTCCCCTTGGAATGTGTATTGTTATTTTTACTTGTTTTTCCTTTCTCCCAGAGAAGCAATCGTTTCTTGGAATGCATGAGAGAACAGGGTGATTCAGTCACCCCGTGCGACCGTCATTGCTTCGAAATTTTTCATTAGGAGCAGTTTAGCTTGTTCTAGCTTCGTGCTTTGGAGTGTTTGCTTTGGAGCATGCTTCGTGCTTTGGAGTTACTTGTCTGTTGGATTAATTTGATAGATAATGGCTTACAAACGTAAATTTACAGAATATGAAAGAGATGAAACGTTTGAGAACTCTATTAGATGACGTAGAGTCTTCTGACGAAGAAATTGATTAAGATAGTGAAAATGAATCTGATGAAGAAACATACAGTTATCACGACAGCGAAAGTGAATTTGAGCAGAAAGATGAAGACGACAAAAATCCTGATTTAGAAAAAAGTACTTATTTAGCAAAAACAAGACAGTTTGGCAAAAAGGAAAACCAAATCAAAAAGTGAAAACATCTTCTCAAAATATAATAACTCACTCACCAGGATTAAGAGGTACTGCACAAAGTATAACGGAGCCTCTAGAAAGTTGGGAATTGTTTTTCAATGCTAAAATGATACGATCCATTGTAGAGTGCACAAATATTTATATTGAAAAAATATCCGTAAATCACACCAGAAAGCGAGATGTCAAAACGACAAATGACGTGGAAGTTAGAGCACTTTTTGGGCTTTTATATCTGTGCGGCTTGCATAAATCGTCACATACGAATGCGCAAGATTTGTGGGCTACTGATGGATCAGGCATTGAAATTTTACAGAACACAATGTCGTATAAAAGATTTATTTTTTCTCAGGTGTCTACGGTTAGACAATGTGACCGATCGGGAATCTCGGAAAAAAGTGGACAAACTGGTGGCTGTAAGAGAATTTTTTGCTGATTTCAATGAAAATTGCCAAAAGGCGTACATTATTGGTGAATACGTCACAATCAACGAAAAATTAGAGAAATTTCGAGGGCGGTGTTCCTTTCGTCAGTATATACCCAGCAAACCAGCGAAATATGGAATAAAAATATTTGCCTCAGTAGATTCTAGGACATTTTACAGCTATAACATGGAGATATACGCCGGACAACAGCCGGAAGGTCCTTTCAGAGTTGAAAATTCACCATTTGAAATTACAAAACGCTTGTGCTCCCCTTTGTTTGGATCAGGCAGAAACGTAACAATGGATAATTGGTATACGAGTTATCCTCTAGCAAAAGAACTTTTATCAAAGAAGCTAACCATTGTAGGAACCCTGAAGAGAAACAAGGCTGAAATTCCCACCGAGTTTGTCGAAACAAAAAGTAGGAAAGTTTATTCTTCTATATTTGGGTTCCAAAAGAACACGACATTAGTATCATATGTGCCTAAAAAATCAAAATGTGTAGTTTTGTTATCTACAATGCATCCCAATGATGCCATTGATGAAAATGATGATACGAAGAAACCAGAAATAATTTACTTTTATAATGCAACAAAAGGTGGAGTAGACAAAGTTGATGAAATGTCATCATTATAATCGACAGTTCGAAAAACTAACAGATGGCCGATGGTCGTTTTTTATTGCGTATTGAACGTCGCTGCAATAAATGCCCGAGTTGCCTTACTGTCAACAAAAACCCCTCCCTTACAATATAGAAATATTAGAAAATTCGTAAAACATTTAGCATTATCTCTTACAGCCCCACATAGAGATAAGAAAAAATATGCCAATGCTTCCTAAAGTGCTTCGTGAAAGCATCAAAAATGCCACTTCTAATAGATCAGAGCAAGGTCCATCAAAGAAACCAAAACTCAACAAAGGCCGATGTGCTATGTGTCTAAGGTCTAAAGACAATAAAACTACAATTTCTTGCAAAACATGTGATAATTTTTCATGTAAAATGCATTCTTTCTATGTTTGCCAGAGGTGTATACTGATTCATTATCCCTGATTAGGTACGTATTTATTTTGAATAGAATTTTTCCTTAAATATTAAAATAAGTTTTCTTAAGTAAAGACATATAGTTTCTTAATGAAATATTGCAATTATTGTTTATAATCAAATGGTTTTTATAAAATTTATAGCACATATTCCTAATAAAACTGATTGGGGTGACTAAGTCACCCCGCGCGATCTCTATTGTCAGTGATGGGTGCGCACCTTCTGCCGGGTTAAAATATTCTAAAGTTCATTGTTTTTTACACTAACCCACATTTATACTCGTATTTATATTGTTAATGCAATTTAAAACGTATTAATTGCTTTCGGATATAACATATCCAGTACACCTTCTCATGTTCGTAATTTTGGCGCGTGTGCTCGCGGGTTAACGAAAACAACTTTATACATCATAAATGAAAATTTATTGTTAACAACATGAATCACATGATAAAAAACATGGCATTAATGTAGATCCTTGGCAGTGCAGAAAAATATAGAAGTTTCTAGGACAAAATGGTACAATGTGTCACAACATGAAAACTCAAGATGTGAATGAACTGACAAAGTATTAATCATGACAACATAAATGCAAATATTCACATAACAAACATTTGCCAATTTTAGGAATGAAATCTACCCTTCTTTCACTTATATTAAACTTTAGATTGCTTTAAACACTCCAACGAAAACCTATTTTTCCTTCAACCTGAATGGAAAGTAATATATTACATATCCTAAACCAGTACAACAAACAGATGGCAATATCTATACTCATGTAATACAGTCACCAAATTATTATAGTGAACATTTTACGCTAAAGGCAAAGACACAACAAGTGGCATTTTTGATGCTTTCACGAAGCACTTTAGGAAGCATTGGCATATTTTTTCTTATCTCTATGTGGGGCTGTATAAGAGATAAAGATGTTCTATCGTTCAAAATTCCTAGAAAGATTAGGAAACAACCGATTTGTTAAAAAAATCAACCAAAAGCATTTTCTAAAAATTATCAATGAAAAAGTAAACTGCAAATCCAATACTAACAATATTTTGCTTTAGGCTTAATAGGTAATACCAAACTCAAATACGTAATGTATACACAACCATAAAAACATTACTACTGCATAAAGGACATCTTAAGAGCTAACATTATAAAAAAGATAAGCCACAAACTAACTCACATGGTTGGTACATACGAATATTTCATCTATTAACCACGAGGTTTGATACCACGTTATCGTCCAATACAAAATTGGTGCGAAATATTAAATCAATCATGAAATGATAAAATGATATTTATCAAATAAATAAAGTTTAAACTACTAAAACAAATATATAGATATGTATATAATACCTTTAGCAGATGCTCCTTTTTTCGTTTTTGGAGGCATTGTTAACACTCGCCACTACTTCCACGCGAACGGTAACTACACATATGTTGCCACTCACTAAATGTCGTTAAATTTTACTTCATCTCTCTAAAAGTTGATCATGTCTTGAAACGCAAAATAAACAACAAATATAGATTGCCATAAATTATTGGCTACTTATTTTTTCAACAATAAAAGCTTTGGCTACTTCCAAAAGATTTCTAAAAGGAACTAAAATAACGTAAAATTGAGTTAATTCACCACCTGTACCTTATCGTTTTGAAGGAGACAGTACGACTGTTTTTGTTTTGTTTTTTTTTAATATTCAGACGGTTCTGTTGTTTTCATGTAAAAAAATGCTAACAGTTTTTTCCTTTGTTTAGTAAATGCTATAAGTCTTTTTCCATATACAATTATTAGCTATTGTTTATAGCCGGTAATCGTATGTCCACTTCAGGAATGCTGCGATAACTATAAAGCTGTATTCTTCAGAAGAGCTGTAAGGTAATTTACCAACAAAATATTTTTCTTTACGGTTAGATGGATACGGAATTTTTCTAACATAAGGGAAAGTTGAAGTCAGTGATTTCAAGAATTTTGCTATGTCAAAGAGTTTACTCTTTTCAGAAATACAGAAAAATGCAGAACTCGTTGAACTAGTATGTAACTGAAGGATAAATCTGAATACACAAAACTGCATTATAGAATATGAGATGTTTAGAATAAAATGTAGAAAAACATTTCGACTTTATAACTTGAAAATGATGCTCAATTAAGCATGTTATGTCATAAAATATTTTCTGCCACTTTTGTACTTTCTTGTCTTGTAGCTCTAGTCTTGATCAACCGTTGATGCATGATTTCAGTGTTCCGCTTTTAGCTTCTAGAAATAGATCAACATTGCAAAAATAGGCAGATAACTTATTAAAATTTAGTATTCATGAAGCAATATGTCATTCATGTAATGTAGTATCTAATGTTTATAATTCATGTAGCATAATGTGAACCAAAATAAAAATTAGTATGGATTTTTTTTACAAAATATGCATAAATGCACACTAATATGGAACTTTATTTTAATGTTGTGAGTTTATAATTTTGCTGATAATTAAAATATTTTAAATAGCAACTTTCTGAATTAAAATAACAAATTCAGTTGTACTTTTTTAATTCCTCACGGTTTGAAATTCAGAGTGGCAACCTCGATCATTTCCTGTTTTGCTCCATTTAGTTTTTGCGAATTAGGCTCAGTACAAGGAACACGTTGTTTGAAAATTTTATTGTTATTTTCGATTTGCTAAAATGCCTCAGATGAGTGTTTCCGAAGTATTATCATATGATGAGGTAGAGAAGACCGAAGTTGATCATAAATCTGGAACTGAATCAGAAAGCGATGATTCTTCTCCCGAAGCCGATGAAGGAGATGGTGCAGCTCAGGCAAGCGCTACTAGCCAGATGGCTCAAATGGCTGGTTTAAACGAAGAATTAGTAAGTAAAGCCAAACAAAGTCGAGGGGAGAAGAAAGCACGTAAATTAATGTCCAAGCTTGGCCTGAAACAAGTGCAAGGTGTATGCAGGGTAACTATCCGCAAATCTAAGAATATCTTATTTGTGATTACTAAGCCTGATGTATATAAAAGTCCTGCTGGTGATACTTACATCGTTTTTGGTGAAGCAAAGATTGAAGATTTGAGCCAGCAAGCCCAGATGGCTGCAGCTGAGAAGTTCAAGACTCCTGAAACTGCTGGTCTTGGAAGCGATGGACCATCTCAAACAATTGCATCTCAGCCCATTGAAGAAGAATCTGAGGAAGAAGGAGAAATCGACGATACTGGAGTGGAAAGTAAAGATATTGAGCTTGTCATGTCACAAGCAAATGTTTCTCGCAGTAAAGCTATTAAAGCTCTTCGCAATAATAGCAATGATATTGTGAATGCTATCATGGAATTGACTATGTAATTTCATTTGAATACTTTCTTATACGTGCAACTCAGTAATATTATGTTCTTAAAGCATAACTTAAATTCTTGATATGGATATGTTCATACTGTTCAATATCAATGTGTTGAACAAAGTAATTGTATAATTCCTTTTTTTTCCCCTAAAAAATAAAAATATTATGACATTCTTAATAGTTATGCTGCATGTCATAAATACACATTTGAAGTTCTTACTGATTTTTAAAGTTTAACTGCAGGTACACTAAATTTTCAAAAGAGTTATTAGATGTGTGTATTACTTTTACGTCAATGAAATCTTGAGCATTTTAAAATGTGAGTTTCCATAAAAATGAGAAAGTTTAGCTGGCCAGTGTAATGTAAATATGACCTAATAATAGAATATATCTTATATTTAAATAAGTTTAATTTATTTTCAACTTTGAGTGAATTTACAGTAGCCTTATTTATTTGCGAATCATGCTAAAGTTGAAAAGTGAAAAAGATGATCAGTGGCTAGTTTTGAATATGTGAATAAATACTTTGTTCAAGATTTATGTAATTCTTCAGTATTTGTTATTATGAGTTTTATTAGAGGAAAAGTTGAATATATAAAATTAATAAGGATATCAAAACTTTGTATTTTACCATATGAGAATTGTACATTTCGGTCCAACTTCTCTGCGAAATTGCAACTAGAATTTTTTTGGTATCTCAAAAATAATTGTGCATTTTATAGGTTGAAGTCTTGCTTCTTCATGCGTATTTAGTTATATATATATACAGACTTAATAACTATCTGCTTCAGAGCCATATTTGAAAACTACATTGTTTATAATTTGGAATTTTTCTAGATGTTTATTTGACTAAATCTGGTCAGATGGATTCAGGATATAAATTAATAGATACCAAGACAATGTATCATTTATTAATGTGTAGCCTATAAAATATGTCATGTAGTTAATTGGTGCAGTTATTAAGCTGACTATATGATTTTGATTTTAAATATTTTATGGAATAGCTATATTTCAGTCAATAATAAAACAAAGTACATTTATTACAATTTTTTTCACTAATTGTAGCATGATTTGTGTGTCTTAATTAGATTCTTTCATGAATTCTGAAAATTCATTGGTCCTCAGTGGCATAATGAAAGATTTGAAGTGGAAGGTTATTTTAAATTTCCTGTTTTAAAATTCGTTGGGATGACATGGAGGATAATCAGTTGTTCAGCTACAAAAACAGTGCAGCTCTTTGCACTTGTCTAATGACTTTCTTAGGATTCACTATATGTTGCGTCTTTTTTAGCTGTAGATAAGTCGTGGCTTTAAAAAACAAAAAATAAGCTCTTGATCTTGTATGGATCATGTTCCTATAAGTATAATTTAAATATAGTAAAATACAGTAATGCAATGAAAGCATTATAAGCTAGTCCTTAATTATGCAAGGAAGTTCTCATATTGATTCAAAGGTAATTGATGGTATATGACATATTTGCAGGACAGACAAGATTACAATATTAATACTAGGTTAAGTAAAATTATTTGCTTTTTTTCGCACTGTTTGGATAAAAGTTTTGATTTGCAGATATTTCTTACCACTTAGTAATGACATATTGAAATTATAAAATTAAAGGGTTTTTATCGGCAGAGAATCTGTTGACGCCGTTGCATTTTTACTCGCCAAGCTAGCGGTTCGTCGATGATGAGCCAAGCCGTAAAAGTGATTTTTAGTTCATGTAAATTCAAGTTAGCAGGCAAAACAATGTATTAAGCATATGGTAGTAAAAATTCTCAGATAATAAGCATGTAAAACTAACTGGTTAAACATGATATACGAAAATAAATTTGTATTAAATTCAAGTTAGCACAGAAAAGAATATATTAGCCTAAGATAATATATAAGCATTTATAACGGAATTAAAAATTCATATAAAAAATATAAATTAGTATTAATGTTCTGAAAATACCCGGTTAAATGTGATAAACGAAAAAAATTGTCTTAAATTCCAGTTAACACAGAAAACAATATATTCCTTACACCAGCAGTGGTTTGCTAATTTTGATGACCATGGTGATGCATCAAACTATTCTATCATCTTAAATAATCAATATTTTTATTTCAATTTAATCATCTATTTCTGCCATTCTCTGAAAGGTTATTGTTAGAAAAGCATTAACAATATTTTATCTTGTTAAAATTTTATGCCATAAAAATTGATTTATTCACTTAATTTTAAATGACAATAACCAATAATAAATATAAAAGTATTACTTAATTATTTAAAATGCACATGTACATTTTTGCGGCCTACGGAAATAAATTATTTTAGATGTTGGAAACCTCATGGTTCTTAGAGCTGTTAATAATTAAGAACACAACATGAATGTGTTACAAATTAGCATTCACTCTTGGCATATTTGCTTCCTTTCATCCCGAACCGAGAACCGGCATCTATCTACAAAAATATTTCTATCTGTTCGTTGTTAAAAAATTCAGGAAAAAAAAATAATAAATAAGAGAAGAATTATATAAATCTGCAAATGCGAACAAAGGCAGTGATAATTCAACAAAATTAACGCAAGAGGAATAGTTGTAAACTTCGAACAAGCGAATAGGATAAATCCGCTGGGTTACCAGGTTTGAAAAATTATCGCCAAAGTTGGCGATGTTTACATTTACCGGGTTCTCTGTGGACGTGCTTCCAAATTAAAAATACAGAATGGTTGCTTGTGAAATAATGGAGCATCTTGTCTTTAAAGGGCTGTTCCCACGGGTTTATCTGAGTCAGTTCCATGTGTTGACTACCTCCACTATGCCTGCAGTTCAGATTTTTCAACTTGCTGTTCTATGGGAAAAAAACTGGTTCATTTGTGTCTGTTAGTTCAGATAAACCCCAGTGGAAAATGGCTCTTAAGAGAACCAGAATTTACACAAACAGACTTATATGAACATTTATTTTCTTTTATTAACATTACTTTTAATATAAGTTGTTTAAGTTGTAATTTCTTGTTCAGTTACAAGTCCTGTAACTGTCATCTCTCAAGAATTCTGAATAAATTATTGATTGAAATCTTCTCATTCTCAACAACTTTATCACTTTCTTCATAATCGCTTAGCACAGGCGTGGGGTCTATATGACCGCGGCAATATTTTAGAACTGCAAAACTGTTTATGTTATATAGTTATTCTTTTCCTTTTCAGAACTTGCAAGTTGACATCAAATATAACTTTCTAAATTTTTATTAAACTCTATAAATTAGTCTTTTTTTTTTTAAATTGGGCTGCGGTCATATAGACCTCACCTCTGTGTTTACGTTACTTTTCTCTCGCGCGCGATGGAGGATGGCTTTATCATGACTTGTAAAGGAACTTAACTCTAGAGGTTTGACATACTTCGGTACTATGAAAAAACTAAGAATGAAATACAAAGTGAAATTTTTCCAAATAAAACGAAAAGTGAAGGAGCTTCCCCTTATGCATTCACAGATAGCATTTTTGCCTCCCAAATTAAAAAGTGTTATTCTCATTTCTTTAACCTTCCAGCACGCGCACTGGTCAATTTTATATGAGCGCGTGAACATCGTATTTTTTACAACGTCCGTTATTTTACCGTTTTTTGACACGAAAAATGACAGAAGAGTGAATATTGATGTTAAATTTGTTAAGAAATAAAATATTAATCTTATTGCAAAATACAAATATCACCTTCAAATATAAGTAAATTATTTTTAAGTTCTTATGTTAGTGAGATGGAAATGCAATGATGTATTTCATTATAGAAAATTTTAAATTTTATTATTTAATAATTATATTTTAAAATTGAAGCCAATTTTAATATTCATCAAAGGCAAGTATAGACAAATAAAAAGGGAGAACACCTTGGTAGGAAAAAAGTAAGTTTAGCATTACTTACTTCTGCAAGGAAATTTACTTCTTACTGGTTACAAAAACGCACTTTAAACTTTAATATTTTTATTTATTTCTAAAAAATGGAAATAAAAAGAAAATAAGGAATGGAAATCACTATGGTTCTTCCACCCAAAGGTTACTTTTTCTTCATCAGATAATATTTGAAGAATGCAAGCAAAATCAGCTGGTTGCACATATTTTTTTGCCATGAAAGGTTCGAGTCCTGTCTAGGGCATTGCTCATTTTTCATATCTCCTGTGTAAAAAAAAAAAAAAAAAAAAAAAAAAAAAAAACTACTAATGTCCCTACGGTGGCACCTAAACTAAAAAAGGTGGTGGATGATGATTCTTCACCACCAGGATTTGGCGACTAGGTCCCCTAATCCCCAGTTGCCCTTTAAAAGGGGGAGTATAATGAGGTATTTGTCCCACCTTAGCATGCCTTTGTGGTGTAGTGGTCAGCACACTCGATGCATATTTGAGAGGTTCGAGTCTTGCCGAGGGCATTGCTCATTTTTCATTTATCCCAAATAAAAAAAATAGTAATGCCTCTACAAACTGGAAAATCTTAAAATTTGTGTGGTTTAAATTCAGCTGGCGACCAACTCCAATAGTTTCTGGTTTTCATAGAAATTGTAATTCTGCCTGAGCCCCAAATAAGAGGAGTTTCTGTTTTTAATTGTTATATTTAAGTGTTTGTCATTAGATTAACTTAATTTATTATATATTTTTTCATCTTTGTTTATACCCTTCAGTAGGATACTGACACTTCTAATGAAACATGGTAGCTGATTTTAGTTTATACCGTTCTTTAAACTATCTGCAGACATGACCTTGGAACATACTCCATAGCATATTTTATATTCAAAGAATTCTTGGATAGTCTTAATTGCAGCATTGATTCTAAAAAGGCTTCGTTACATCTGCATTTCATGGCAAATCCAATATCTACTGATTAAATGATGGATTTACACTTTCAACTGAAGGGAAAAAATGAAGATATTATGAAAATTAATTCTTACATGATAACAGTAATAATAATAAACTGAATTTAATATTGAGGATCAAATAAAATAGCTGAGGAATAATGCAATTAGCAATGCTAATTAAGTTAATCAGAATCCTAGTAGTTCTTTCTTTATTCTTCACTGTTATGTTAATAAAAGAAAAATGTAAAACATTCCTTTTGAAATAAATACGGGTCTTCAAACTTCACTCAGTGTGTGCTGAATTAGGCAAGATAGGAAGATGCTGCCTTTCCCTACAGCCACCCTAAGCTGAAAATTAAATTAGGCCTGCTAACTGATC